TCCATGGTAGAAATGGAATTCCTGTCTGTACCAGAATGGCCTTATTGGACACCAGATTTAAAGATTACAAGCATTCAGTCCTTGGAAATCGTCGAGACGACCCTCAATGCAGGAACTGTCTTCTTCACAGTCTTCCCAAATTACAATATGTCTCTTCATGATCCAACCCTGTTAGATGCTTTAAAAGTTCAAGTCCAGATCGTAGCACAGAAATGAAAGGCCTCCAGGCAACCCTTCACTACCAGATGGCATACAGAGTTCAAGATCATGCCATTAACTTGCCTCTTTCACACTCCAGTGATGCAGTTTTTGTTAAAATAAAAACAACAAACAGAACTCCCAAACATGTTCATATTCCAAAGCAGATTTCAATGAAGAACTTGCCACCCTTCTACCAAAGACGTGGACGACAAGTTATCAAAAGATTTGGAAACAAGATGAGCCAATTGAACACTCTGATACCATTTATACACACATAGCTCTGATACAATTTATACACACAGCGACAGATAGTACGACCAAGGCTCTGGCAACTGACACGACTTCAATTTCGGGCTCTCCGGATGGTAAAATCCTGACAATACTATCTGATACTATGACAACAGCGTGAAAATCGATCAAACTTGGCAAGATAATACCAACGATAAGCTTTCCATAGCTCAGACATATAATTAAAGTATTCTAGCCGATGTTCAAGACTCTGGCACCTTCTTGACTTAACGTCGAACTGGGGCCCTGACTTTTATGAAGATATGTCTTTCACTATAGTAACTTATTATTAGTATGATCTTGAGGCGGTATGACTTTTCTTTAGCTGAAGAAAAGGGATCAATGATCTGTTTAACAGATTAACAAGAGTTTCTGTTGCAGAGGATCCATAATAATATGGCAACTGCAGAGCATACTCAACTTGTATCACTGTAAACTTTTGAATAGATTGAAAAGAAAGAGGAAGCTAAAAAGATGTAACTATGAAAAAAAGAAAATGAAATCACCAAAAGAGAAGAGAGGTTTTTAGCCAAACATATTTTTATAAAGGAAGATTTTTGTTACAAGAGATGTGGTTGAGAAGTTGTGGATGATTACTTCCTAGAAAGTATCATTCTATTTATACATAAAAAGTAAAGGACTAGTAGCCTAATAAGACGAGACTAGGACAAAGTAACTTTACAAGTGGCTTAGGATAAGACTAAAGGATGATGAGTCATAACTAAAAGTACAATGACTCATAACTAAGGTACAAAGGTCCATTATTATGGTATAGTGACTCATCACTTAAGGTACAGTGACTAAGCACTATGACTCATACTAAAGTACAAAAATACATTATGACTTGACTAAGACATAAAGTTGATGAAGACTTGACATAAGGTTGTCTTGATGTGAAGGCATCATTATCAACTTCTGTGGAGTCTTCTGGAGAAAACTGAAATTAACACGCGTAATTATACAATATTTAGACTGGAGAGGGAATCTTCTGTCTTGTAGCACCATCATTTGAGAGAACGTTGAGTGTGTTCTGAAGTTCTCCCACAAATGGAATGGCAACAAGATTCTCAAGACCCACTTGATGATTTTGATCCAGATCAATGGTTAGTCAACCTCGGCTATGATTTCACCCCAGACGCAGATAATTCACACCTCACAGAAATGAAAGACCTCCAGGCAACCCTTCACTACCAGATGACATACAGAGTTCAAGATCATCATCTGAAAGATTGATACCTGAGATATTGACAATGTCTTGGATCATCTTAACTGATTTTTTGTCTGACTTTAGGCAGTTCTTTAAGAAATGTCCTGGTTTTTTCACAGAGAAACCATTTTGAGCTTTTGATCTTTGGGTCTTTCTTTTTTCTTGCAAATTTGAATCTCTTGAAATCTTCTGGGTTTGTCAGCATATCTGAAGAATTTCTTGTGTCTGGGTCTGAAGATTTGTGGAGGTATGGAAGGTCTGAATCTTCTGAAATGTTTCTTTTTCTTGTTGCTGCAAAAACATGTGAGATCTTTGGAGGAACATTTGATTGGTAATCCTGAGGAAGAGTAAGAACAGGGCTTTTCAAGCTTTTTGGAGTTGTGCACCCAAGGTTTTGATGTATTTATGCTCTTTGCAAATCTTATCAAGGGCTTTTAGCATCATCTTGTAGATGTCTCCAAGGGTCATAGATTTGACATCAAAAGGATTTGAGGTTCAACTGGGTTCTTATTTGCTGGGCAAGTTCTTCTGGAACAGAATTAAGAAATGCTTACTTTAAGTTGACATCATCGAATCCACCAAGTATGTAGAAATACTGGAGAAGAATTGTTGATAGTGTCTGTCAACGGTCTTTTGGATAGAGAGAACAACATTTGAGTCTGAAGAATTGCTCTCTAATCTTTTTTAATCTGTGAGTTTCTTATCCACAAAAGATTGCTGCAAATTGAGAGACAGCGTCTGTGATTGTTGGGCATTGAAGAAACTGGAGTTGTCTATATTCACCAATGTTGTCCCAAAAATTTTTCAGGGTTCCAACTAGTCTGGAAACAACTCTGATCAAAACTGTGTTCATCGTAACATTGGGATGAGAATTCAATTCAACAAGTCCCCATGCTAAGAATTCTTGAAATCTTGAGGGCCATTTTGAAAGAGGAACATCATCAATGGTAAAAACTGAGAATTTTGATGTTGAAGGATGAGCATGTGATTGTTGTGGAGGAGGGTGTTGTTCAGCATCCATTGCATCAGGGTTATGAACTTCTGGAGTATCATCTGAAACTTCAACTATTGGTTCTGTCATGAAAATCTGAGGGAGCATCATTTTATCTGAATCATCAGTATCATCTGTTTCAACTGATTCTTCTGATTTGACAGTATCCATGTGAGATTCATTCTTAAAAGTAGAAGGAAAAATATCTTCAATAGAGAACTGAAGAAGGTTATCTTGGGCCATTTGGTGAAGTATTTCTGGAAGGGTTTGTGTAAGAGAAATCATGAGTTGTACAGGTTTTTGGTTTGGTTGTGGTGTAGGGTTTTGAGGTGTGAATTATCTGCGCCTGGGGTGAAATCATAGCCGAGGTTGACTAACCATTGATCTGGATCAAAATCATCAAGTGGGTCTTGAGAATCTTGTTGCCATTCCATTTGTGGGAGAACTTCAGGAGGTTTCCAATAAGGATTCCATTCTACTGGACCTGCATGGTCAAGTTCAATCTGGTAATTTTAGAAAGAGATTCTGTCCAGTACCATCAAGCGAGTTTCATAAATCTTTTTATCAATGTTGAGCTGGTAAGTGTACTCTGAAGGATAGTTTCCCCATGGAACTTCATCTTGGATCTCTGACCAT